TGGCTTCACCTCATTTGCTGTCATTTAAGGACCGGGAGCGAGCCAGAGCGCCCACGTCTCGCACCGGGTCCTCCATAATGCACGGCAGCTTAGCTCCCGGAGGGGGGGCCGGGCCTGCCCCCCATTCCCCCGGCCCAGCGCCGAGGGGGCTGCGGAGAGGTGTGGCGCGGAGGGAGGAGAGTGGCTCTGCTCTGCAAACCCTGGGGACTCATGGAGCCAAACTCCTTGTCCCCCAGAAATCCCCTGTTAGAGGAAGGGATGCGAACCAGCTTGTCGCATCGTGCAAGGCAAGTGGGCCGGAGGGGCTCCTTCATGGCCCATCCCAAACGCTCATCTTTATTGTTTCCCTGATCAAAGTAACATGGCTCTTTGTCAAAATATCCAAACCTTAGAGGAAATTTAAAAATAAATAGTAGAAGTGCCTTAACAAATTTGATTGGCATGCCTCCATGTTTATTTTCATGTATATAATTACATGGATTATTGGTATTATTTTATGAAAATGAATCACATAATACATCACAATTTGCAAAATATTTAAACTATAATAGATGCTGAGCAGGGTTACATATCAGTACCTATTCAAGCCTGTTTTTAATCAACCAGCAATGCGATGTCAAAAAAGCTCGCTGGATGGGGGTCTGAACTTCTGAAGGCTAAGCTGGGCTCCACTGATTGGCTGTGTGTGCCAGGCTAAGTGCACTGTCCTCTCTGAGCCTCACCTGGAACCTGAAGGGCCAAGTTCACTGCCAACTCTGAGACGCTGGGTGCTTACCCAGGTTTGTAATCTCTCTCCTGTTCTGCTCCTGTCATGGGGCGGGGTGTGTGTGCCCAGAAGCAGAGGGACCAGCCATCTGTGGCAGCAGTCAGCCCCATCAGGCTGTCACTTGTCTCACCCCCCTCTGGTTCACCTGCTGTCCAGTTCACACAAGCAAGACCAGTGAGAGGCCCAGATGCTGAAACAGCTGGCAAGGCAAGGCCAGCCTCAGAGTTTTCAGTGACTGTACCTGTCAAGCCTGGAGAGTGACAGCATGCCTTCCTGAGGGGAGGGGGTCTCAGGGGCTTGGGACAGGTCTGGGCTGAGTGGGAGAACCTGGAAAAAGAGTCATGGTGTGGGGGAGGGTCCACTGACCAGCCTCCAAGGGCCAGAATGACTGCCAGGTCCCAGGTGCTCTTCCCTCCCGTCCACCTGCTCCCCTCCGAAGGCCTCTCCCAACTCCAGAGACAATCTTCTTTGTTTCAGACAGAGAGACATCTGACTGTGCCAATGACGTGTCTTGAGCTGGGAATGCCTCTGTACAAATCCCTTCCAGGTGCCCACAGCGCCCTTGTCTGTCTCCCTGTCTGTCTGTCTTGCTGGGGCTCGCACATTGGCCCTGATTCCTGGGGTGAGTCTTGCCCTCTGACATTGCCCAGAGCAGCCCAGGCACTGCAGAGAAGGCTTTGAGTCTTCCCAAGCAGAGAGTGGTGCCACGGGGAGCAGGGTCTGGAAAGGCCCTGTTAGTGCAGGTGACTCGGGTCTCAAAGTTTCCCCCAGATTCCTCTGCAGCCTGCCCCGCCCTGGGTGGGCTCGGAAGCCACGAGAAGTGGAAACTGAGAGTACGTAGTAAGCCTAGGCCTGGCTCTGTGGAGACCCTTCCCCAAGGTCTGTCTTCTCACTGGTTCGAAGTTGTCACCTGAGTCTGGTACAGTGAATTTGGGGGGTTATTGAGGATCTTCACTGCCAGTCCCTATAGCGCTCCTGTTTCTGACAAGAGAGTGGGGTGAACATTTGGGGGTCCAGGCTGAGTTTTGCTTGTGGGGTCCATTAGTTTGATAATGAACAGAATATTTTATAATGTCATTATTAAGTCTGTTTAAATTCTTAATAATAATTTGAGTGTCTCCAATGTGTCAGGAGCTGCACTAAGTGCCTTACCTGAATTATCCATCAAGGCATATGTGTTGTCATTATTTTATTTTACAGATGATGCTCAGAGAGACTAAGGAACTTGCTCCAAGTAAGCAGTGAGCAAGTGGAGCCTGTTGGTCTGGCTCCAGCATCCATGGTTTAGCCACGATGCTGTGTGCTCCAGCTGCCTGCCACCTGCCCTTCTGAGGTGGGCACAGTAGGGGACAGGATGCTGTCCTGTTTTGGTGCCTGCCAGATCCCAGAATCCTCAAGACAATTGACTATGAGGGGCACATCTGCTCTCTGTGGCTAACCAATATGTCTCCATGTTGTATAGAGCAGGACACCCCACCCCAAGTGGAGTCCCCACAGACTCCCGAACAGGGCAAAGAAGGGCCAGTGAAGATGAGTAGGTAGCTAATCAAATAGGCCACTAATTTGCTTGTAAACATGAGGTGACTTCAGAGTGGGAGCTCCCCAAAGTCATCTTGAGGGCCACCCAACATTCTGAGACCATTTGCTCCTGCTTCCAGCAGCCCCACTAGATCAATAGCAAAAGAATTCAGAAGGGGCTTCAGACTCAGTTCCAGGGGACAGTGGGGAGGAGCTGAGACCTGCCAGGACCCCAGGAGGGCTCTGACCTGTGTTGATATCTTTCCTCATCAGTCCCAGCCTCACATCTCTTTTCCAGGCCTCTGTAGACCCCAGCACCTTGGTATCTGGTTTCAGATTTCAGTCTTTTCTAGAGCTCCCAGGAGACCACAAGTTCACGGAGCAGCTTCTCTGCCTAGAACGGTGGGGGATTCAAGAGCCATAGGATGTGGTCTTTCTTCAAAGGGCCTGTAATCTTTCTGGAAGCAGCCTGAGAGTGGTACCAGGGCTGTTCATCACAGCTTCGGGGAAGAGTGACAAAGCAGGTGGTGCAAAGCTCTGAACTCAGACCAGCTTGACAGGCAGTCCCTCACCCCGAAAATCGGAATTAAGACACAAACCTCACTGAGCTGTTGTGAGCATTGAATTATGCATGAAGTATCTAGCACAGCACCAAGCACATAGTAAGTACTCAACAAATGTCAGGACTTCCCTTTGTGTCTTTTTGGGCTTCCGCCTCCCCATCTGCAACACAGGGTTGTGCGCCTACTGCCCATCCTCTGCTGCAGTGGTTGGGGTGGCTCAGGATTTGCCGTCAAGAGAACTGGACTCCTTCTCAGCTCTGTCACTCCTGGCTGGACGACACTGCGCAGATTACTGAAGCACACTTAATTGATGATGGGGGAATCTATTTCCTCATCTGTAAAATGGGAATAATCCTATTCCACTTTAGGGTGGTTTGAGCATTTAGCCAAGGGTCATGCAAAATACCGATTGTTATTCCCCACCTGTCTCCCCTAAGAAGTCTCCGAAGGTAGTGATTATGTTATTACTCTCCCCAGCACCCCCTTCCTGCTTAGTTCAATGCCTGGCGAATGGTAGAGACTCAATGAATCCTGGTTGACCGGATGATGCTATAACAGCTCAGGTGGTTGGAGAGAGGGACCTGGGAGTGGGTGAAGGCTTCGGCTGGGGTAGAGGGCACATCTTGAATTAGGCCTGGACAGACAGAATGGGGGTGGGAGTGCAGTTGTGGCATGGGTATAGGGGACTGGGAAGAGCTTGATTTGTGTGGGGCCAGGAGGAGCCAAGCTGAAGTGAGCAGGGGGCGCTGAAAGGGAAATCTCCCTATTCCGTCTGCATTTGCCTTTCTAATTTCACTTGAAGGCCTGAAGGGGTCTGTGCCTTGAAGGGCCTAATTATTCTCTTAGCTATTTCTACCCAGGGCTCTTGGAGCTTCTTTTTCAGGCTTATAATAGACAATGCTAATGCCATTATTAATATTTAATAGTAATGATGCTAATAATGCCTTGCATTTATGTGGTCTCTCTAAAGAGCTCAAAGAACCCTGAGTTCTTTTTTATGAAACAATTTGGCCAGTGTAAGAGGTGGGAGAGTGGGGGGCAAGGGAAGGGGAAAGTCATAGGGAAACCAGAGCCAAGAAGGTCAAATGACTGGGCCAAGGTCACAGAGCAGTGGAGGTAGAGCTGGGACTAGGGTTGGGTACTTGGGTTCCTTGACAGGAGCTCTGACATCAGGTTCACTGGGGCACCTAGATCTGAGAGGGACATCCTGGTAGGGAGCTACTGTGTGACCCTGGGTGGGGGCTGGGCTGCAGAGGTGTGGTCTGAGTGTGCTTTACTAAGCCTGCCTAGGGTGGCTAATGGGCAGCCATAAAACATGGGAGCCAGAAGGGGCAGGTGACACCGGGAGTCCTTGGCCAGATTCTGCAGGTGTCCCTGAGTCTCTGCCCAGACGCCTGTTTTCCCTGCATGCCAGATGTATAGCCTCTTGGAAGCCGCTTCAATCAACCCATGTCAGTGCACGCACCTAATTATTCAGCCTTCTTGTGCTATCTTTATATTTTCCCAATACAATTGTCAGAGCTGAAAACATACCCAAAATATGTAGTTACAAAAAAGCTAGCAC